GGTGCTTCCAAAACACATTCATTACGAGGGAAACACTATTTTGTAACCTTTATTGTTGACTTTTCTCGGAGAGTCTGGGTGTATACTATGAAATCCAAAGATGAGGTGGTGGGAATTTTTCTCAAATGGAAGGCGATGATAGAGACTCAAACATGCAGAAAGATAAAGTGTCTTCGCACAGATAACGGTGGAGAATACAAAAATGATCTTTACAATAAGATTTGTGAAAATGATGGCATTTTGAGACATTTCACCGTCAGAAATACACCACAACAGAATGGAGTGGCAGAACATATGAACGGAACTTTGCTGGAGAAGGTTTGGTGTATGTTGTCCAATATTTGCTAGGGCAAAGAATTTTGGGCTAAGGCAATAACATATGCATGCCACCTCATTAATCGTCTACCATCTGCTGCTATTGGTGGCAAGACATCATTTAAAAAATGGTATGAAAAACCTGCTGAAGATTATAATTTTTTGCATGTGTTTTGCTCAATTGCGTACTATCATGTGAAAGAGTCAAAATTGGATCTGAGAGCAAAGAAAGTTATATTTATGAGGATTACTTCTGGAGTCAAATGATACCAATTATGGTGTCCAGAGATAAGAAAAATTGTATTCAGCAGAGATGTTACCTTTGATGAATCTTCCAAAACAGATAAGGTGACAGTTAAAGATGTCAAACAAATTGATGGTATTTCAAAGCAAGTGGAGTTTGAGGGAAAATTAATTTTTCCAAAACATAGAGAAAACGAGGAAACAATAGAAGATTTTTTCCTCAAATTGAAGAAGAGTAAGTAGAGAGGGAGATTCCAATTCAGGAACCTCAACAACAACCAGCAAGCCAAAAGAACAATAAAGAAACTTGTTCGTCTCATAGAAACGATGGCTTGTGCAGCCTCAATTGTAGCTGATGGAGTTCCTACCACCTATAAAGACTCAGTCCAAAGTTCAGAAGAAGATAAGTGGAGGATTGCCATGAATGAAGAAATGCAGTCCCTTCATCAGAATCGTACATGGAAATTGACCAATCTCCCAATGGGCAAGAAAGCAAATAGGTGCAAATGGGTATTTACAAAGAAAGAAGGATTTCCTAACCAAGAAGATGTTTGCTACAAAGCAAGATTGGTGTCCAAAGGGTACACTCAAAAGGAGGGAGTTGATTACAATGAGGTATTTTCTCTAGTTGTGAAACACTCTTCCATTAGAGTTTTGTTGGCTTTGGTAGCACAGTTGAATTTGAAACTAGTTCAGTTAGATGTAAAAACTGCATTTTTGCATGGAGGCTTGGAAGAGGAAATCTATATGACTCATCCGGAAGGATTCAAAGTTGCTGGAAAGGAAAATATGATGTGCAAACTTGAAAAATCGTTATATAGATTGAAACAATCTTCTAGACAATGGTACAAACGATTTGACAAGTTTATGTTGTGGCGGAAGTATAGAAGAAGCAAATACGATCATTGTGTCTACTTGAGCAAACTTGAAGACGGATCTTTCATATATCTTCTCCTATACGTTGATGATATGTTGATAGCTTCCAAAAGTCAAGACAAAATTAAGAAGTTGAAGATTCAACTAAGAAAGGAGTTTGAGATAAAGGATTTGGGTGAGGAGAAGAAAATTCTTGGCATGGAGATAAAAAGAGATAGACATTCAAAGAAACTCTATCTATCTGAGAAAGAATACTTGAAAAGAGAAATAGATCAATTTGGCATGAATGAGAACACGAAGTCGGTTAGCACTCCGCTTGCTCCTCACTTTAAGCTTAGTATTGCTATATCGCTGAAAAATAAAGTTGAACGAGAGTATATGTCAAGAGTACCATATGCGAATGTCGTTGGTAGTTTGATGTATGCAATGGTTTGCACAAGACCTGATATTTCACATGCTATCGGAGTTGTAAGCATGTATATGCATGATCTAGGAAAGGAGCATTGGCAAGTTGTGAAATGGATTCTACGGTATATTCGTAATACTGTAGATGTTGGATTGATTTTTGAGAAAGAAGATAGTCAATATCTGATTGGATATTGTGACTAAGATTATGCAGGTGATTTGGAAAAGCGTAGATCAATTACTGGTTATGTTTTCACTTTTGCAAATGCACCGGTTAGTTGGAAGTCTACTTTACAGTCAACGATTGCTTTGTCTAGGCCGAGTACATGGCAATTACGGAGGCTGTAAATGAGGCAATTTGGCTTCAAGGGTTGCTTAAAGAGCTTGGTATTGGTCAAGAAAGCATCACACTATTTTGTGATAGTCAAGGTGCTATCCAATTAGCAAAAAACCAGGTTTATCATGCAAGGACAAAGCACATTGATGTTCGATATCACTTTGTACGAGATATTATAGAAGAAGGTGGAGTCACAGTGCATAAAATTCGGACTACAGACAACCCTGTCGGTATTCTAACAAAAGTAGTGACTGCGATCAAGTTTCAACATTGTTTGAACTTGATCAACATTGTTGAACTTTGAAGATTGAAGTTGAAGACACAATCAAAATTTATCAGTGAGAGAAAATTGAAAGAGTGAAATCTTGCCAAGGTAGAGATTTGTTGAATTTGACAAGATTAATGTGAACTAGTGTGAACATTTGGAAGCCTCCTTTTAAGAGGAAATTGGTAGATGCATTTTTTCATGCATTTACATTGCATGATCACACTTATGGGTCGTTTGGTAGGAGGTATTAGAAAAAATAATGTAAGCATTAGCTCTGTGCATTACTAATACATTGTTTGGTATATTTTTCCAACCTGTGTATAACTAATACTTGTATTAGTAATACACCATACTTGGTATTATCCTATGTATAAGCAATGCATAGAAAACCATGACATTAGTAATGCAAGGGTTATTAATACTTGCATTAACATGATTAAAGACCTAATTGCCCCCTCAAATCCCTAAAAACCCATCTTAAATACTTTCTCCCATATTATTAGCAAGCAGACTCTCTGTACGCTTTGGATCACAGGTGAATGCAGCCAAACTTGTTATAGCTTGATACTTTGATACTACTATTTTATTTTTTTGCATTATTATTTTTGTACTAACTTAAAAGAAAATAATTTTTTATTATGTTATCCATGTAGTTAATTGTTATATCTAAAGTTGAAAATTATGGAGGGTACTTTTGTAAACATCCAATTTTGTAATATTTTAATACACCCAACCAAACAATGGATAAAAAATAATCTCAGCATAACTAATGTCAGCATTACTAATACCATCATTACTAATACCAACATTATTAATACACTCTATTCAGCATTATTCTTATACCTCCTACCAAACGACCCCTTAATGTGATGTCATGCATGACATTATTAAGGTCATTTCTCTTCTATAAATAGCAAGGGTTTTGTTCATTTGTAAATATCTCTCACTTGCATTCTTATCTACTAGGGCATTTGAATCTTCTTTCTCTCTTGTAGTATTTCACTTGCATTTTTAAAATGAAATAAAGTTTGAGTTGAATGTGTCCGAAGACTAGGCAAAAATTAAATTTTGCCGAACCTCGTTAATTTATGGTATTCTTTTTATTATTGTCTCACTTACTATTTATTAGTTACCTTTAAATATATTAGTTGTGATTTAATCGCTTTCTATATATTCGACTTCCGCAACAGTTAAATTAGTGATAATGAAAGATAAAATTAAAATTATGGTTAATAAGTTAGTAGAAATATTATTGTTAAATAATTTGAAACATACCAAAGTAAAAAGAGCACTGCATAGAAGTAAAAAACAGGGAGAGCGAATATTCATCTAACTATAGTTTGAGAAAAGTTAATCATTAGAAATTCACGTCGTTGCTTGTTGTGTTTAATTAGGAAAAATCTAAGAAGAAAATGTCATCATTGCACAAAATTAACACTCTGATACGTGCCTAAAGAGGGTGAAACTGATGAGTGAAAGAAAAATCCCGCTAAAGAAAAATCCCGCTAAAATAGCTGCTACAAACCCTTGCGGTTGCCCAGTTGATTTGGATGGTGGTCGGATTACCTTGGATCGAATCCCCCCTCAATGATTTTTGGGTTGAGCCTGTCGCACAGGACTTGCTTAGTGCGGTTTACATCCCCGTGTGGTTTGCATGTTATTACACAGGGGTTACCCGGTGCGCACATAATGCTCACCACAGAGTTCTCATCCGAAGGACAGAGGCTACAGCAGAGGTTGTAGCGACCGCAGGTCTCCATCTTACAAAAAAAAAAAAAAAGAAGAAAAGAGTAGAAGGTAGAATAAAATGTACTAAGAATACTCAAAATAAGCATAGTCAAAATATTCAGACTCCTTAGTCCTTCCTAGTTCCTCCACAAACCTATTTAATTTGAACTTTAAACTTTTAAGGGGTGGTATGGACGAGAGATAAGTTATTTGTGGATTAATAATATAGAGATAAATTAATAGTGCAATAGATTATTATTAGACGGTATTATTTCTTGTACAATGTATAATTTAAAATATTTACTTTCTTTATTTTATAAAAGATTGTTTAGCACATAGGGGTTATTTTGATCATTTTAGTTGTTTTAATTCATGTATTATTACTAATCTCATATTCTTATTTAACCTTCTATCCCACATAAAACAACACATAAATTTCTGCATATATTATATTGGTATTATTATGCTTGAAACAAAATGGACAACCAAACACTGCATGATTAAGAATATACATGTATAAGAATCTAACCAAACGTTGCATATCTTGTGCAGAATTTTATAATAAATGAATTATCACATCTTATACTTTGGAAACCAAAGGAGCACTTCACTTACTATTTGGCGTGGTCGCCGTCACCATCATCCGAATATAATCGGACAGAAAATGAAAAATTAGATCCTTTTGTCCGTACATTCCACAACCCCACACGCACGGCTTTTGTCTACAGTACTCAAAACTTGTGGTCTCTACTTCGACACTAACGACTCAACAGTATCCTCCTCCAATCATAAATCGACAACTTATTTGACGAAACCACTCTGGTATTGCCCATACCATTAATTTCCCTCCTCTCCTCCTATCTGGGATCCTTCCACTTCCCAATAACGATACAATTTTTCTTTACATCTGCACAACCATTTCATTTACCAAAGAGAGAAATATTGAGATAAAACACCCTATCACTCTTCTGCAGTATAGTAGTACTCTTCTTTTTCTGTCTGAAAATTAAGTAAATTTTAATAATGGGGAGAGGAAGAGTGCAACTGAAGAGAATTGAGAACAAGATCAATCGACAAGTCACCTTCTCAAAAAGACGATCTGGTTTGCTCAAGAAAGCTCATGAGATCTCTGTACTTTGTGATGCTGAGGTTGGTTTAATTGTTTTTTCTACAAAAGGCAAACTCTTTGAGTATTCCACCGATTCTTGGTACGTTTCTTGCTATTTATTCAGTCTTTGCAATTAATATCTTTTGTGTACTTTTACTATATGCTCTACTCCGTTTTCTCTTCTTGATCTTTAGTTCTATACCCCTATTTCTTGATAATTTAATAGTGTTCTTTTTAAAAAAAAAAATTCTCTTCTCCACATTCTTTTGATTTTTCAGATCTTAGTTGTTCGTTGTTTTCCTTTAATTCTCTTTTGTTAGATTGGTTGAAGTTTATGCTCCATAAACTCGCTATTTCTTGACTGCATGCATAGTTTATTAAATTTTCGAGAGCTTAAACCCATTCTTTCTCGTTTTGTTTCTGAAAGAAGCATTGCCATAACAGATCTCTTTGAAAACAAGAATAGTGCAGAATTATAAGCCGAATTAATACTTGAGCTTCTCTTCTGTTACTCCTTATGTTTTTCAACCCTTTTGCCTTTTTTTCACCAACACACCACCTAATTATTTAGGAAAAGTTTAAGCAGGTGGTACTACTTGAATACTTCCATGCGCACCTAAGACAACTGGCCTAGGGAAGTGTAGAAACAAAAATAACGTACGTAGAACTGGAACAGAAGTCATTTCAGTTACAGAAAGCAACTATGTTTATGCGAGGCTAATTAATCTGCGTGTTTCTCTTTTAGTATTTAACTAAGCACTTGAATCCTGTAAAGGCAAAATTAAAGTCTCTAATAAAAGTCTGCAATAAGTTTGATGTCAAATATAGTCTTCTTTTTGAAGCCAAGTACTCTCTATTTAACTTTTAAAGGCACGATGTACTCATGGTCCAGTGGTTCTCAGCCTTTTATACAATAGTCTTTTTTGTATTTACCGGGGGTATGTGGGGAGCTACAAGCATGAACTAAAAGATCGAATATATGAGTTTAGAGTATATAGCTTTAGATGATAACAAGAGAAATGAACTTGAATATATGAGTTTAGAGTTATGAACGTTTAACTTTTGCAATGGGGGGAAAAATTATTTATGCAAACAATATAATATGAAATTAAGCTTAACTAATTATCAACTTAACTATTAATTAGAAGATACAAGTTCAGCAGCTATTCATGTTTTTAAAACTCGCTGTTCATATCTGTGGATTTGGGGGTAGAGAAACTTACATTGGGGGGGGGGGGGGGGGGGGGTAGAGAAACTTACTTGACAAACAAGTTTTTATAACGATCTCAACATAAAGTAATTATAAAAAAAAAACATAAAGCAAAAAATGCATTCTAAATACTCATCCGTCTCAATTTAGATGTAATTTTTTTGTTTGAGCAGGATATTATCCTACACATTTAACTTTCTATAGTTACATGAGAGTGCAAAATGTATATATTGGTAACTTCTTTTGGAGAATCCAAATCTTTTTAACATAAAAAGGGTCTACGCCTTTTAATATTGCAAAAGCATTGAATTGAGTTGATATTCTGGGATGATTCTAAATGTAAAGTAAATTATTCATTAAGACAATAGTGCTAGTTAGCATGTGTAGAACAATCTTCCTTTCTATTTGTCTAATCTTCTTATAATTCTTCTTTTATGTATTCATTTCTCATTTCCTTTTTCGCATTCTACGTTTAATATAACATATTGATAACTTTCTGAGAAGGAAGAGTATATGATCAAGCATGGTTTATTAACCACCTGAAATCCATTCCTCTAACTCAGTCTCTTGGTGTGTGAACAAGTTAATGAGATCATAATGTTTGGATTATAATACGAGTATTAAATAATGATAAGATTATTTAATGGATATGCTTTTATTTGGTAGATATTTATTTAATTAGACAAGAATGATATATACGAGATATAATATAGAACATGTATTTAGTTTGATAAACTAAAGGGATAAACTTTTATTTTCAGTTTTAATTTTGATTTTCTCAAAGGAATATGAGAGGACATCTTTGTCATTTTATTTAATTATTTTTTCTCGGAATTAATCCCCCATATGGGAGGACATCTTCTCGTGTTTGTCGTATATGCTGCTAGGGTTCTATTCTCTCGCTTGATTTATAGCTAGTTTTCTTTTGTTGCTTTGTTTCCCTTTGGAAAAAATTCTCATATTTTATCCGTTATTGTTATTCATTATTTTTATAACCAAGCACGATCCTTTGAGGATAGAAAGGCTTGTTTTTTCGCTTGTTTCGCCTTAGTCATCTCCTTTTTATTTTCTCTCTTTTTCTTGAAACCCTAGGGCGGATGACAGGACCCAGTTCCCCAACTTACCATGTAGCCCAAGTTCTGGGGACCTTTGTACCCTAACTCGCGTTGTTCCCTCCTAATTGTAACATACTGTAGTTGATTGTTTGAGTTTTTGATTCCTTCTATTCTTTTCGACGTCTTTGTGCTTCTAAATTTTACATCATGTTCTTGCAACTTCTGAGTGGTCTGTGTATATATTGCCCCTAACAATTTTAGGCCGTACTACTTTCTTTTCTTTTTTGTGTATTTTTTGTCTGACAAATCTTCTAGAGTCTAGATATATAGGGGCATTTTCATAGAAAAATTAACCATATTATCCAATGATTACCTATCACCAAGCAAGGGATAAAGTTTCTATCCTAGATTTAGTCTCTAATATCCAAAAGAATTTAAGTTATATACATTGTTCTTAACTTAATCAATAATATCTCACGATATTGTTTTCCATTACTCCTATCCCAACTATATTCGATCCCTTCCCAAAAGAAAAGGAAAAAAATAACAATAATGACCCGGTAAAATCCCATAAAGTGGGGTCTGGGGAGTGTAGTGTGTACACACACCTTACTCGTATCCCGTAGGGAATATTTCAGAGTCGCCTAGGTTTTTAAGGTAAGCCAACTCTAAGATATTTTTGTTTGGGTAGGTAAAAGAACTAGGAACAAGAATGGACCTTAATTTCCTAATGATGGTGGGAACAGCATTTTGTTTGTTTGGAATCTAGTTAATGGCATACTTTTCCTGGCCCTTGGAAACAATGGCATCATGAAACGATTTTCCTTAGGGAAAATACTGGAAATATAGTGTATTTGCAGAAAATACCTATGGATAAGTGCAAAAACGAACATTAGAATTAGAATGATGGTGTGAACGAATGAGGAACATGAATAGTGACAAGTGACAACTTCGCTGAAGAATTGGACGACATTGCAATTATCCAAGGGTGTGACCTAATAACCAATAAGGTAGTTGCAAAATTTAAAGATAAAGGTTCAAATCTTGATGGAGATAAAAAAAATATTAGATAATTTCTTCCGATTTGCCTAAGCATTGGTTGCCAACATTGTCTAGTATCTCTGCAGGTAGAAGGTATTAGGTATCTGGTGAAATAGCCGCGTGCGCGGGCTGGGGCACCACTGATGTAAAAAGAAGTTTAACACTCTATTATCCAGAATTTTAGTATTTTCATTTTGAACCAATGTCTTGAGAACTTTGTTACACAAATATTTGCTTTTATAATAACTTCTATCGTTGATTACCCAATTCTGTATATAATTCTCACCTTTTCTTTTAAATCACGTTCAAATGCATTAAATCTTTTACTGATATAAATTTTCAAATCGATGGTCTTATTATTACCCCCTCTTTTTTTAATCTGGTATCAGCATGGAAAGGATTCTTGAAAGGTATGAAAGGTACTCATATGCTGAGAGGCAGCTTACTGCTACTGATCATGAAACCCCGGTATGCCTAAGTCTCAAGTTTTTATTATTTTGCTTCCTATAGTGGACTTAGGTATCAAAATTTGGGAGAACTTAATTTTGTGCAGGGGAGCTGGACTTTGGAACATGCTAAGCTTAAGGCAAGAATTGAGGTTTTGCAAAGAAACCAAAGGTATACTACATTCCCTTCGGTGGTCAATAACTGTATTTGATATTGTTGGGAAAAATAATAATCCCGCCCAGGAATAATATCCACGGTAAATAACAATAACACAAAAGAGTAACAAAGACACCAAATTTTTTAACGGGGTAAAATACAATACACAAGCGGAACAGTATTACCACTATAATATTACAACTTAGTAGTGTCAAGAGACTACTACAACTTCGAAAGAAATAACACTCTTTATTTTAAACACCTCCTTACAATATTACTCACACTCACTATTTATCTCACAGACTACAATATGTGGATTACTCTCTCTAACTTCAGTTGCTTGTCTCTCGTTTTGGTGTGTTTTAAGAAGTGAGAGAGCTCCTCCTTTTATAGGAGTAAAATATGTAGCCTTCAAGAATACTACAGGAGATGTATTAATCTCTTCCACTTATTTTCAAACTTTGGCTCCAAGAAAAAGTTGCCAGCCAAGTTTTATTTCATAGGCACATGCCTATTTTGGTGGTATGGACTCCCTTAATTTTGATTTTTCTTTTTCATTCCAAGTCTTGATTTCAATCTTTAAAAATCTTCAAACTTAAAAGGCTTTGTAAAGATATCCGCAGCTTGATCATGAGACTTAACATATTTGAGTTCGGCTTCCTTCTTAGCAATGCATTCTCTGATAAAGTGATATCTTGTACCTATATGCTTGCTTCGATCATGTTACACTAGATTCTTTGCAAGTGCTTGTGCGGATTTGTTGTCAATACAAATCTTTGTAGCTTCTATCTGTTGTAAATTGAGCTCCTTCAATAATCTTTTCAGCCAAACAACATGACATGTACAGGAAGTTGCTGCTATATATTCAGATTCACAAGTTGAGAGAGTAACATTTGATTGTTTCTTTGAACTCCAAGAAATAACAGAATCACCCAAGAAAAATACAAAATCAGTTGTGCTTTTTCTATCATCACTATCTCTCGCATAATCACTATCACAAAATCTCACAAGGTTGAAATCACTAGAAAAAGAGTAAAATAGCCCAAAATCAATCGTACCTTTTAGTAACGAGTATTCTTCTAGCGACTTTCAAGTGAGTGGAGTTAGGAGCTTCCATGAAGCGACTTACTACTCCAACTGCAAAGAGTATATTTGGCCTGGTACAAGTCAAGTACCTCAAACTTCTCATAAGACTTTTGAAAAATGTGGGATCTACTTTTTCTCCTTCATCAAATTTGGACAATTTTATCCCGCTCTCCATTGGCGTGTTCACAGGGTTGCAATCGAGTATGTTGAACTTCTTCAATATCTCTTTTGTATAGCTTTCTTGAGAGATAAAAATTCCATCCTCTATTTGCTTCACTTCTAGGCCCAAGTAGTATGACATGAGCCCTATATCCGTCATCTCGAACTCACGGGGCATATCTTTCTTAAAAGCTTCAAACAAACTTGGGTTATTACCCGTGAAAATAAGATCATCAACATAGAAACAAACAAGCAAGATATCTCTATTAGTATGAACTTTAAGGTAAAGAGCATATTCATGGAGACAACGAGTAAACCCATTGTTTTGAAAATACTTATCGATACAACTATTCCATGCCCGTGGGGCTTGCTTCAATCCATATAAAGCTTTCTTCAACCGCAATACTTTATCTTCATAGTTTTTGACCACAAATTCCAGTGGTTGTTCAACATAAACTTCTTCAAGATAGCCATTCAAGAAAGCTAACTTGACGTTTAGTTGATGGATCTTCCACTTTATTTGCGCCGCCAAAGAGATCAACAAACGAATTGTCTCTATGCGGGCAACATGTGCATAGACTTCTTCATAGTCAATGTCTTGCCTTTGCTTGTAGCCTTTAGCCACAAGTCATGCCTTGTATCTCTTCACTTCTCTATCAGCATTCTTCTTTGTCTTGTATACCCATTTCACTCCAATTGCTCGTTGTCTATTGGGAAGAGTTATTAACTCCCAAGTATTGTTCTTCTCTATTGACTCGATATCCTCCTCTATGACTTGTCTCCAGATTTTATCTGTAATAGCTTCATCAAATTTTATTGGTTCACTATCGGCAAAGAGACAACATAAAAAAAAATCAAAATTAGTAACTTTTTCTGTGTCCTCATAGAGCTCTTGAATATTCCTCATCCTTTGCGGTTGTACATTTGAACTTTCTTGAGAAGAAGGAGATGCAATATTGGTTGGAGAAGGAGGCGGAGTTGTATCATGCACAGGTTTCACAGTCTCTAGTTCTTCTTTATCACCAAAGTATGGAAGAAAATCATATGAAGTTTCTTCCTGAGCTTCCGAATTCCATGCCAATTCTTCATCGAATTCAACATCGCGACTTACCACCACTTTGTCGTTACTTGGGTTGTATAACTTGTAGCCTTTTGAACTCGTATCATAGCCAACAAACACATGCTTGACACTTCGATCGTCAAGCTTTGCTCTCCCTTGTTGTGGCACATGAGCATAGGCTATGCTCCAAAAGATTCTCAAGTGCTTAATACTTGGCTTTCTTCTACTCCATGCTTCTTGAGGGGTTTGACCTCTAACATTTCTTGTTGGAGATCTGTTATTCAAATAAACTGCATAAGAAACAACTTTGGCCCAAAATTCCCTGGGCATACTTTTAGCTTTTAACATACATCTAACCATGTTAAGAATCGTTCGATTCTTTCTCTCTGCAACTCCATTTTGTTTAGGTGAATAAGCTACCGTTAGAGGGCAACGAATTTCATGAGACTGACAGAAGTTATTAAATTCTTTTGAAGTGAATTCACCTCCTCTACCGGACCTTAAAGCTTTTATTTCATAGCCATTTTTTTTCTCCACAAGTACTTTGAATTTTTTAAAAGCAGCATAAGCTTCAAATTTTTGGTTTAAGAAATAAACCCAAGTCTTTCTACTAAAGTAATCAATGAAGAGAAGAAAGTATTTACTTTTACCAAAGTAAGGTGGATTGTTTGGCCCACACACATCAGTGTGAACAAGTTGGAGTGGCATGGTTGCTCCTGACATGGACTCCTTCAGAAAATTCCTTCTTGCATGTTTTCCAAGAAGACAAGCTTCACACAATTGATTGGGATGGTTGATTGATGGTATCCCATGCACTATGTCCTTTTCTCCCATTGATTTGAGCGCTTCAAAATTCAAGTTCCCAAATCGCATGTGCCAACACCATGATTCATCTTGCACATTAGCCTTCAAACACTTTGCATCAATTGTCTTAAGATTCAGAGAAAACAATCTATTATTTGCCATATGCACTTTAGCAATTAGAATTTCACTTGTATCTCTAAGCCAAAGATGCATATTTTTCTTGTGAATATCATATCCCTTTTCAAGAAATTGTCCCAAACTCAAAATATTACTTTTTAATTTTGGCACATAATAAACCTCTTGAATTAACTTGTGGCCACCATTTTTACAGGAGATGAGAATCGTATCTATTCCTTTGATTTGAATCTTTGAGGTATATCCAAAGGATACATTATCTCTCACCGTCTTATTGATCTTCTCAAACTTCTCTTTGCATCCACACATATGATTGCTTGCTCCATTATCCAAATATAACGAGCTACAATCATCCCTATCTTCTTCCTTGAGTGCCAACAATAATGTCTAACTCATCTTCTTCTTTCTTGTTCTCAAGAAGGTTAGCTTTCTCTTCACCAAATTTATGGATAATTATAACACTCAATTTTTTGATATGTCATACCTTTATCCATTATTTTCTTGATTGTAACTATGTCATCTTCCTCCTCTTTGTCCACGACATGACCTCTGAATATTTGGTAAATTTTAACTTCATTGTTGAAATTGTTACCACTACTTCTTCCTATTCCATGACCATCACGGCCTTGTCCCCGTCTGTTTCCTCGATAGCTCTTTTCACCTTCATAATCCTTGAAGGATGCTCCAATAGTACTTCTTGTTTCCTTTTGTTCTTTTCTTCGTGGGCCTGTAAAGAACCCTCTAATTGCTCCACCATCATAGAGTCTAAATCTTTAGACTCCTCAATAGCACACACCACAAAATCAAATTTAGGTGTTAAAGAGCAAATGATCTTTTCTACCACACGGACATCTTCTATGTCCTCCCCGTATCTTGTTAATTGATTCACAATAGCCTTCACTTTTGAACAATAATCCGAAATGCATTCAGATTCTTTCATTTTTAATACTTCAAAATCAGCCCTTAGAATTTGAAGTTTTACCTTCCTCACCTTGTCAACTCCTTGGAGAGAATTTTATAAAATCTCCCAAGCTTCCTTTGAGGTGGTAGCATCCGCTACCTTCTCAAACATGGCATCATCCAAACATTGGTGGATGAGCATGAGAGCTTGTTGATCCTTCTTCCTTATCTTTGCCAAGACATCTTTTTTATTTTGAGGCAGAGCTTCCTCATTATCGGGTTTTACATACCCCCGTCTACGATTTTCCACACATCTTGGGAGCCAAGAATGACTTTCATGCGTAGATACCATTTCTCATAATTATCTTTTATGAGACATGGGTACTGAAAAGACAACGGACCATTATTTGCCATGTCTCTGATATCACGTTGTTGGAAAAAATAATAATCCCACCCAGGAATAATAGTCACGATAAATAACAATAACACAAGAGAGTAACAAAGACACAAAATCTTTTAACGGTGTAAAATACAATATCCAAGTGGAGTAGTATTACCACTATAATATTACAACTTAGTAGTGTCAAGAGACTACTACAATTTCGAAAGAAATAACACTCTTTATTTTAAACACTTCACTACAATATTCCTCACACTCACTATTTATCTACAGACTACAATCTGTGTATTACTCTCTTTAACTTCAGTTGGTTCTCTTTCGTTTTGGTGTGTTTTAAGAAGTGAGAGAGGTCCTCCTTTTATAGGAGCAAAATACGTAGCCTCCAAGAATGCTATAGGAGATGTATTAATCTCCTCCACTTATTTCCAAACTTTAGCTCCAAGAAAGAGTTGTCAGCCAAGTTTTATTTCATAGGCACATGTCTATTTTGATGGGATGAACCCCACAGATATATCAAGTCACTTCTAGAAAATGAACTAGCCCGTCTTAATAATTAATTTACAGGCATTATGCAGGAGAAGATTTGGACTCATTAAGTATGAAAGAGCTGCAGAATCTTGAGCACCAGGTCGATTCTGCTTTAAAGCACATTCGATCAAGAAAGGTAGAGAAGCACATCAATCATATTTATAGTTTTAAACATATCTGGAGTTTGTTCTAACTGAAAAACCTTTTGCTTGTAGAATCAATTGATGCATGAATCCATTTCTGAGCTGCAAAAGAAGGTGAGAAGCTTATGCTTTAAAGAGATTAATTTTCTTAATCTCTTTGAAATGCAATATTGGGTAATCTCATTAACATAATTCACTGGTTTCAAACTAGTGTTTATGATCAACAATCCAATTTCTATAAAATTAAAATAGGGAAATTTCATTGCATGATCAGAAGGGGGGAGCCAGGAGTTCAATATATATCATGGTTTCTGAATTTTAGAACGACGACTTCAAGTGCAAATAACTGTATTCTAAATTTAATATTTAAAGAATTTATTAACACAAATTTGAGCAAATAAGTTGTGCTGTAACATTCCTTTTGGATGGCACAGGACAAGGCATTGCAAGAGCAAAACAACAAGCTCTCGAAGCAGGTAGTAATTATTTTTTAAAATGTCTACGTCTCAATCCAAAATAAGGGCATTATTTGTTGTAACTTTAGAATTGGTTGAAAAGGTGAAAGAAAGGGAGAAAGAGCTGGCTCAGCAGACTCAGTGGGAGCAACAGAGCCATGATCATCTCAACTCATCTACATTCGTTTTGTCACAGCCCTTGAGCTCTCTTCACCTTGGGTATATATCTTACTGCTAGCTAGCTTTCAGTTTCTGTCTTGGAACAAGCTTATTAATTATGGAAGTGCCAGAATCTCATGTAGCAACCATTTCATTAATATTGTCAAGTGCCAAAAACTTATGAACATGTAATTTATAATGTTGATCGGACGTGAAAAATGCAGGGAAGCGTACTCAACTGCAGGAGACAACGGAGAAGTTGAAGGATCATCGCGGCAACAACAACAGAACACTGTAATGCCGCCATGGATGCTTCGCCATCTTAATAACTGATACTAATCAAGTATTATAAGCGTGAAGCGATCAATATTATGCTATGGTTTGTCGTCTACGGGTTAGGAAGAATATGTACATATATGTTATCAAACAAACACAACTTTTATCCTAATTAATTAAGTATGTATATGTGGTGCTGTATTACAATATTCAGAAATATATATAATGTAGTACCATATCATCCTCGCCTTGGATATTTAGGCTTTAAACTTCTTACGACTCCTATTTATTATAATTGTTCCATACATTATAGTGACGAGAATGTGGTATTAGTTTATTGAAGTAGTGTGTGTATTTCCTTGTCTTCGTCGAAGGTATATATGGATTGGCCTTTCTTGTCAGATTGCTTCTTAATAATTGGAGTAGATTTTCGACAGCAATGACAAAGCGAATACTGATTGCTTTTAAAAATATAAACATAGTTTCATCAAACAGCAAAGGAATAAATTATATATAGAGAGAGAGTGTGTGCGCGTGCACGTCGATATACGGCTCCATCAGATGTTGTACAGGTAGACCTTAATTCAAGAAGTGCTCAGCGATTAAAGGGATTCATTTTAGTCATGAAGGGCAATTAGAACTTTAAGTTTATGGGTTTATTTTTTGAAAATAATGTTTATTAGGTTTTAAATAAATTATTTATACATAATAAGTAAATTTTAAAAGTAAATATGAGGTTTGAGCCAAAGTTACAGGTTTTTGCCGAACTCTTAAACACGACACTAGCTCCATCCCTGGCAACTAGATTTTTCATGTTTGCAGAACATTACTACTCCTCCGATCTCAATTTATGTGGCACTTTTTTTCTTTTTAATTTGTCCCAAAAAGAATATTATCTTTTAATATTAAAAAATAATTTATTCAAAATTCTTACTTTATCTTTAATGAGATGATTTTTAGCCACACAAATCTCAAGAACTTATTTTAGATCATAAATTTTAAAAAATGTCTTTTTTTTCTTTTCTTAAACTTCGTGTCCGGTAAAACGGTGCCACATAAATTGGGACGTATAGAGTACTAATTACTATTCGAATTGACTATTAGGGACTATCATGAAAGACATTGACTCCTATAGTATTGTAAAGGGCAGCCCGGTACGCTATGCGGGGTTCGTGGAAGGGCCGGACCACAAAAATCTATCGTACGCAGTCTTACCATGTATTTCTGCAAGAGGCTGTTTCCACGTCTCTTAGTCCAAAATCCATGCTACTTGGACTTGAATTTCCCCATTGTTACCCATGTGAAAAATTGACTCCAGCAGTGGAGAGGAGTTTACCCATGAAACTGAAACTTATGTGACCTAGACATCTCCACTTAGGTCTATTGTACGCAGCCTTACCCTGTATTTCTGCTAGAGCTTGTTTTCACGTCTCTTAGTCCAAAATCCATGTTACTTAGACTTGAATTTCCCCATTGTTACCCATGTGAAAAATTGACTCCGGTAGTGGAGAGGAGTTTACCCATGAAACTGAAACTTATGTGACCTAGATATCTCCACTTGGGTCGACTCTATCGTACACAGCCTTACCATGTATTTCTGCAAGAGGTTGTTTTCACGTCTCTTATTCCAAAATCCATGTTACTTAGACTTGAATTTCCCTATTGTTACCCATGTGAAAAATTGACTCCAGCAGTGGAGAGGAGTTTACCCATGAAACTGAAACTTATGTGACCTAGACATCTCTACTTGGGTCGACTCTATCGTACGCAGCCTTACCCTGTATTTCTGCAAGAGGCTGTTTTCACGTCTCTTAGTCCAAAATCCATGTTACTTAGACTTGAATTTCCCCATT